AACCACTAAAGTTAAGTCAATGATGTTTGGTATGCATTTTGTTTTGTCAATGGCACATTTCATTTCCATGAAGATTATTTGGCCCTGTCTCCTCAATCATGCTCTATCGATTATGAAACTTTTGCTTAGTTTAAATGTTAAAGTTTGTGATTTGGTCAGTGTAATGGGAACCACTAACGGTAGGTTAATAAAATTTTGTAATGCATTTGTATTAGCATTGGCACATCTCATATCCATGGAGATCACTTGATCCTGCAGATTCAGCCATCGTTCCTTGACTCTGGAAACTTTCGCATGGTTTACATATTATTAAAGTATTCCCATTTAAATTTCTACATTTTCATTATACTACAAAATTACATAAATCTGAGATATATATTTGTGTCAACAGTTTATTATGAAGATATCTTGCTTTCATATTTATCCCTGGAATAACATTTTAAATCGATGGCTGGGGGGGGGGGGGGGGGGGGGGGGGGCGTTTAGTCCTGTCAATTTATACAGAAAAGGCTTAAGAATTACATGCGTCCGAAGCGCTTTTCATGAACTTCCTTCACCAGGAACGCCCAAAGCCGAATATTTGAAGCCAAGGATGTACAATAACCGAAACAGTTGAAGAGCTATATGACCGAAAAGGACATTAAAAACAAACTCATATACAGTCAACTGCAACAAAGTGTTTTTGTGTCCAAGGTGTCATCTTAGTTGATATCCTAAAAGTCTATCAATTTAATAGTGGTGGAAATAGATGAGTGTGGGTTGAACACATCTTTTTTTTAATAAAACATCAATGATAACTGGTAATTCAAATATCTATGTCAATGATGAAGCAATATATTTTATTACAATATTACTCTATTTGAAATATCACAAACATGATTGTATAAGGAAACTGACAAAATCTCGTGACCAGAAATTAGTATTTTAAGGCAAAATCTAAGATTTTATCATAAATTCGACGAAAATAGGAAACCGGAAAATTTGTCAAATGTAACTCTATTTTAAACTAAACAAACACGAATGTTTCGGAAACTGGCAAATTTCATAACAAGAAATTACTATTTTGGGTCAAAAACTAAGATTTTTTATCATGAAATCTCCAAATACAGGAAACTGGAAAAATTTGTCAAATTTCAAAATATTTACTGAATGAAACGAAATGTTCAACATCTCTCATAACAAACAATATTGATGATATCATATATATCTTAGTCAAAAGCTTCCTTTAAAAAATGTTTCCAAAACTTGAAAAGTGAATAAATTGTACGACATTTTCATCACAATTTCAAAATAGTGATGGAACGGAAACCTTTATGGAGGCGAATTTTGTATTTATGCTGTTCTGTTAAACAACTGTTCCATGTTAGGGCATGGTTGAGCACTCACAAACAGGTTTAACCCTGCAACATTTTTAACGTGACTGTCTCAAGTCAAGAGCCTGCAGTACAGTTGTTTCCTGTCTGTCATATTTGTTTTTCGTAAATTGTTTTGTAATAAGTAAGCCTGTTAGTTTTCTCGTTTGAACTGTTTTACATTTTTACGGTTGCCTATAATGGCTTACAACCACTTCATTATAATCTGGTAAATAGTTGTCTCAATGGATATCATACATCATTTTTATATCATCACGATACTTGATTTTTTATATTTTGACAACATATTTGTTTTGGTTTTTTTTGACGGACGTATTTTTAAACAGACAATCGACAAATGGTTAGAAGAATTTGACAAAGGCAATTTCACTGCTGTTTTATTTCTAGATTTAAAAAAAACATTTGATACTGTTAACCATAACATCTTATTATCGAAACTTAATTTATATAAATGTGATGATCACTCTGTTAAGTGGTTTTCGTCCTACCTTTCAAATAGATTGCAAAAGGTTAAAATTGGAACAACTGAATCAGGATACAATAATATAACATTCAGGGTCCCACAAGGTTCCATATTAGGACCTTTATTATTCGTAATCTACATTGTATATAAATGATCTCCCGTTTACATTAAAACACACAGAGTCTGAATTATATGCTGATGACACAACTGTGCATATATCGTCCACATCTATTTCAAACTTAAACGTCCCCAAGGGTGACTGGGTAATAGAAATATGGTCACCATTGGTCTTCCTCCGACCGGCGGTAAAACCCTCGCTAAAGTGGGGCGTCCGTTTGGCTGTGCGGGATGTACAAGTTCGCAGTCACGTCCGGTCAGAATGGGGACGTTAAATCCGATGCCTCGTGTAAAGAGAGTGCCACGTTCTTTGCGCGTTAAGAACCCTTGCAACAACTCTTTGAGGGGTCCGTAGGTGGCCTGTTGCAAGGCTAAATTTCTGTCCTTATCCAATATACCCTCATTTTCCCGTGGCAGTCCAAATTTTTCCCGACCTTCATCCTGGACGGCCTCTATTACAGGACCTACCTATTGTATTTATTGTTAACTTGTTCTCGTCCTGAACATGCATGACATATTTGCCACTGGACGTTAAGCAACCAACAATCAATCAATCAATCAAACTTTAACTCTTGTTTGAATAAAGACTTTGAAAACGTTATTGAATGGTGTGCTGAAAACAATATGATAATAAATAACAAGAAGTCCAAATGTATGCTTATGGGATTTGAGAGAAAACGTGAGAAATGTAATGATGTATTGTGTGTATTATCGCAAAATCAGACTTCATTTGACAATGTGGAAGTAGAAAAACTTCTTGGTATCCATATTGATAAAAATCTATCATGGTCAATTCACATAGATAAAGTATGTGAGATTTTTTCAAGCAGACTATACCTGCTAAATAGATTAAAACGATACTTGCCTCGCAAAGGTATTATCCTTTTTTACAACAGTTATATATCACCAATAATTGATTATTGTTGCACCATATGGGGTTTTGCCGCAACCTGCAACATTGAGCGGATTCATAAGCTGCAAAAGCGCACAGCAAGATTAATTTTGAATAAACCTTTTGATTAATCATCAATATCAATGTTTAAAGAACTTAATTGGATGACCATTTTTACACGGATAAAATATTTTCAAGCCATTTTAATGTTTAAATGTATGAATGGACTAGCGCCAGATTATCTTACTAGTAAATTTACTGCGTGTAGTGATCTATATAGTAATTCTCTTCGGTCAACAACATCTGGACATCTTCATTTACCAAGGCCAAAGTCTGAATACTTCAAAAAGACTTTTCAATATTCTGGTCTAATTATTTGGAATAGTTTGCCAATTGATATAAAGGATTCAAGTCATATAGAAAGCTTTAAGGTGAAATGTGCTAATCTTTTTTTCACAAAACAAAATGAGTAGACAAACTTTTTTTTTTTTTTTCTTAGGACATTCTTGCCATGCTAGTTCTACATTCTGTTTTCTTGCTTGTGTATATAGATTTGTAATTGTGTACATCTCTATTGATTATTGTGTTATATGCATTGATTGTTATATGTATTAAATGTTCACTTTGATGTGTGAAGGCCTCGTGTGAGATTAACAATTGTATGTTAAATGAGTTACCTTCGTTAAATAAAGAATTTATTATTATTATTATTACTATTATTGTTATATAATCCTGCGGGAACTAATACTGCTCCTCTATTTGTCGATTTGTGTCTTTATTCATATGATAAAGCCTTCATACAGAAGCTTCTCAGGAAGAATGAACAGAAGCTAACCTTATCCTTTAACTTCACGTTCCGCTATAGAGATGATGTCCTCTCACTAGTATTGAACCAAGAATTCCATGTTGCAAAGTTGAAGTCATCCGGTCGAAAGTATCTGTTGTCAAAGATGAAAACGGACATGTTCCAGTTGTTGTAACCACAATCCAATCCGTCCTCTTTTCTCGATTGTAATATCACCAAATGAGACTGGTCACTGGACTTGTACGTATTTGCATGAGCAACACGACGAGTGCCAGAAGTGGAGCAGGAACTACTTACTCTTCCAAAGCACCTGAGTTTATTCCCGGTTTTTCAGGGATTAGTTCTGCTCGATCTGTAGTTTTCTATATATAGCTTTTGTTGTGCTTGTGTTTCATCGTTTTCAGGGTTTGTTTTGCCATGACGTTGTCAGAATTTCTTCGACTTATGAGTTTTGAATGTCCCCTTTATATATTCCGCTTCTGGTTTAACACATTCTTTAAATCTCAAGAATCTTTTCCATTGAAATACGTATATAAAACAGATACTTTGTGGAAGTCTTGGTGAATACATCACAATGAAGTATTGCTGGTTATGTTTGCTTTATGTCAGACGATATATTGTTAAAGACTCATTCATGGCTAACTGAAGTCGGATAGATAATAGTACTTTGACTTACACAACTCCAAAAATGACTATCTTCCTGCTTTTTTGTCACCGGCACCCACAATCCTAAACAGTTAACATAACTGGCCAAAAAGGAACAAACGGATAATTTCTCACTGTAGCATTGAGAGGAGGTGCTGTCGTTTCAGGTTGCACACATTATACTAGGAGAGTCATTGGTCTTCCTTTTTTTCAAATTAAAGATATTGGGGTTGGTTTTTTGTTTTAACTTCGTCATGTTACGGCCTAATTGTCATCGATATTGATGCGTTAATAGGCACCCGTATATTGGTAGTGAACATTTACTACCCAGTAATAGCTATTTATGTTTTTATGGGTCTAAGTATTGATAGTCGCTGTTTCTAGACTCAAGGCGATTTTAAAAGCTTGATATATTGTACCTTTTAGACACTTTTATATTGAAAACAATATGTCATCATACTGTCACTTGACATTTCTTGAGGTTGTTATTGCAATGACAATCACACACCCCTCTTTTCCCAAAGTTCTCCTTTTATTCATATATATTTTTGACGTAAGTACTCCTTATTTTTCCATTCATATAATTTTTACTGCCTTCAACTAAAGTTTAAAGGTAAATTTTTATTTATTGCTTCTACATAATTTCCTTTACGACCCTCAATTTTATTCATTGCTTCTTTAAAGAAACTAATTGAAACAGTGTTAGAGTTAACATGATATCAAAAAGTTTACCGCAATTTTTATGATATGTTCAAACAGATTCAGTATGTGTTTGTAAGATTGTTTCAAGATGACTTTTATCCAATGAAATTCTAAGGCCACATCATGTTGACTTCTATGTACTATATAGTATGAGATTGTGTGTAATATATCACGGAAGGTAAGAATTGAAACCTTTCTTACAAAAAACAAAATGAATGTGTTAAGGAAGGCTGTGTATTAATTTCCGGCTTTTGAATAATAGAAAATGATATAGTTTGCATATTTTGTTGTTTCACTTTCAGTTTTGGCGGAAATAAATCAGCACGTAGTTTTGATAAAACAGATGATATTTTGATTTACACATGTTTTGACATGTTCATATACATGCACCCTACCTCGTTCATTCTAAACATTTGGTCTCAAGAGTACCTGATAAAAGATATTCTATAGCTGGAAACGCTAATGGCATGTTTCCTTGCTTTTAAAAAAAAACCAGGGCAAACGTGTTTACACATTTTTCTCGAGTAAAGATGAAGTGAAGGAATGAATTGGTTGCACAGATATTCAAAAACACAATATATCGTCTTATATTTTCACTTTTCCTAATTCTTTTGTTTAGATGTATAATTAAGTTTTTACTTCTGCTAAATGAAGAGATACTATTATTTTTTTTTTGTCATATTTGTTCTTCTACTTGAAAAGAATACACAAGTTTCTGTTTCCTGTAATTCCCTCTTGCGTACCTCTGATGAAGTTAATACCCGTACATGGAAAAAAAACCCAGAAGGGATCAAATTCAGATAACTCAATTTAAACATCAAAGGTAATTGTTTTTTGTCACGACACATTATAGTTTGGAATTATTGTTTAAAAATTAGGCAGTTCAATGTTTGAAGCCCCTTCAGACAAAACAAATTAATAGTTGTAAAATAAGAGTAAAAAAAGAAAAGCAGGCTGCTGATATGGATACAATTTGTCATAAATAGTAAGAGGTGGACTGGTATTGGTAATAAGAACACAAGGAAAATAGTAAATGAAGTTCATTTTAAGCATTGTTTTTTTTTGCAGTAGTCAATTCATAAAACCACTTCGTGTTACTTCGGCATATGTTTGCAGTTTTGTAATATGTGTGATTGCACTATGACTCCAGAGATTACCGGTAGTCAACGCAATCTGGGGTCAACTAAGTTTAAGATAGTTCAAATCTTAGGATTTGTATAACAGTAATCTGCTAAGATTTGTTACAAATATAGCTAATTCAGCATGCCGAATATTAAGATATTGATAAACGGTTGTTTTAATGTGATGTAAACATATTATCAGGATAACAATCAGCAATATTATATCAAATGTGTGCTATTAAACTTGCATTATCAATATTTCATACTTACGCAGTGGCACGTTAAATAACCTTTTCATAAGAAAAGTAATATACACTTTAAAATAGATGATGCATACTACCTTTTAATCGTTTACATCAAATCAACCTACCTACTGTAGGACATGTCAATGTAGATATTGTATACAAAAATATTCTGCAAATCATATGGCTACATAAGATATATAAGGTTATTTAACAGTAAAGCTCATTTTTATGACCTTGTGTGTGGTTGTATTATTTTTGAAGATATTCTAATCATTTATTACACAACAAGCTTTGTCTGGTTATATTTATTATACAGCTAACTCTTTGTATACACCAAGCTTTGTACGATTTTATTATTTATACAGCAATTTTAATTATACAGCAAGCTTTGTACGATTTTATTATTTATACAGCAATTTTAATTATACAGCAAGCTTTGTACGATTTTATTATTTATACAGCAATTTTAATTATACAGCAAGCTTTGTACGATTTTATTATTTATACAGCAATTTTAATTATACAGCAAGCTTTGTACGATTTTATTATTTATACAGCAATTTTAATTATACAGCAAGCTTTGTACGGTTATATTATTTATACAGCTAGGTTATATTATATATACAGCTAATTATTTATCATACTCCATCCAAGCTTTGTACGGTTATATTAGTTACAAAGCTTTTTCTGTATTATACACCAGGCATTGTGCGGTTACATTATTTATGCAGCTATTTTTTAATTGTACAGTTATATTATTTATACAGCTAATTGTTTATTATACACAAAGCTTTGTGCGGTTATATTATTTATACGGGTAATTATTTCTTAAACATCAAGCTTTGAACGGTTATATTATTTATACAGCCATTTATTTATTATACACCAAGCATTGTGGAAATATATTATTTACACAGCCAATTATGTATTTTACACCGAACATTATACAGTTATATTATTCATACAGCCAATTATTTATTATACACCATATTTTTTTTTGTACAGTTATATTATTTATACAGACAGACAGACAAACAGACAGAATAGTTTATTATAGTTTCACATACCAAATACAGCAAATTATTCATTATAGACCAAGGTTGTATGGATATATTATTCATACAGCCACTTATATATTATACACCAAACTTTTTACGGTTTTATTATTAATAAAGCTAATTATTTAAAGATTTCCACCATTAAACCCTAGGTTTAAACCAAACAACAAATGTCACACAGTGACACAATCAAAGTAAGTTTATTTTAGTAAAGTTTTAAGCATTAATTTGAAATTGAAAAACCCTGGCTTCACGGGAATTTCTCTAGCTTTGTTTTGTTTTATATAGTTTTTCTCTTCATACTTCATTGAAACCTCAAAAGTGCTAACATTATCGTGGACTCATGGCGATTGAGTGCTTGTAATATTTTAAAGATATTTGTGTATAAAGACAGTATTGTGACCTCTTGATATACTTTGGTTCTTTCAACAGTTGGTTTGCTGAAGACGTTTACCCACATATAAAAAAAGCAAAATATCAAAAATAACAAACTCCAAGGGAAATTCAAAACGGAAAGTCCTTTATTAAATGGCAAAATCAAAAGCTCAAACACATCAAACGAATGAAAAACAACTGTCATATTCCTGACTTGGTACAGGCGTTTCCTAAAGTAAAAAATGGTGGATTAAACCTGGTTTTAAAGAAGACATTTCTGTTGAATAAACTGAATGTGATTAATTCTCTGTGAAATACCGGTTATTTCAAGCATTACTGTCAAGTTTTGTCATAATCAGTTCAACAGTTTGAGAGAAATTTAATATAACGTAAGACGACATTAACAGCGATTTGAGCAAAATTTAATCGAAAAATTGAAATCACGCCGCATCATGATAGAATATAGTGTGAACCAATTAATTCACCAATAAATGATCAAATATTCATCGCATCTGCATACAAACAGTTGAATATGATACACAAGATGACTCTTAGATGATGAAAACCACTAATGTACCTCTTTCTCTTTATTATAATGTCCCTTTTGGTCCATTTATACCTCTCATTCCCTCAGAAGGTTTATTTATTCGGCTAATAAATCAACATTTAGGGGTAACTTGCACATATGTATGCAAAAGTTGTGATAATAATTGAGTAATTGAAGTGTTCAAGCTAAATTAACTAACAATATAAAAGTTGCATGACTCCATGGAGGTCTCAATAAGTCCTTACGTAAAACTTAAATTTACGCTGCGTTCCAGAGAGGGACATAAAATGGTTCCCTTTCAGTAGATAATTTGTTGTTACTGCTTGTATAGCCCAATATAGGAAATAAGGAGAAAAAGTCAGTAAAAAGCTCCCTAAAATACTGAATATGGCTTGCTCTTCCTACTCATATTCATGGTAGAGCCCTATTTCAAGGAAATTTCCCTTAAAATGTGTTTTTGAGCATCAGTCCACTCAGAATATTTCAATTTTGTTATATTTGAGTGAAATAGGATGACATTTTAAAAAAATGAGAGAGCATACAAGGTCAAAGGTGCATATGCAGCTTCCCATTTAGGAGTAATACCACCATTGATTTTCCCCTATTAGTCTTTGTTAAATTGGCACTTTTCAAGCAATTGTGCAGAATTTATCTTTGTTTCAAATAAAGAAATATTTGGCATGAGTAAGGTTTTATCCAGTCCAGTACTACAGTGAAAATTTCACAAAACATTTCATTGCATATAAGATAATAACCATCACCCGAAGTAAACCAATCAAATTTTCACCCCTTTTTTTACTCTTAACAAGCTTTAGTAACCATGTCACCTGAAGTTTCCAAAATATTTTATAAAAAAAGAATAGTGCTTTTAAACACTCAAGATATATCATGTATATGTTTATGACTCAAAAAAAAATTTCTGCAATGAAATGCAGGGTTAATTTCCTACAACTGTCAAAATCAAGGGAATTTTTTTTTTCGACCCTTTTTCGTATGAAACCGGTTGTTATTGCACCTTTATAGCTAGCTAAATCTCTCACTTGTATGACAGTCGCACAGAATTCCATTATATTGACAACCATGTGTGAGCAAAACAAACTGACATAATAGGTAAAAATGTCAAAATACAAACTTGACCATAGCACAATATCACAATGGCGGGATGTATAAGTACCGAGCCAATTTGTCATATTCAATTGATTTTTCTTAGTATAAAATTAATACATGAGAAATTTGTAGACCACATTTCTTATTTTCGGTTTATTTCTCTTCATCTTTAATTTGAACATTACTGATTTCCAAAATTTGTTTTCGAAAAACGAAAAACCAACCTCTTGAAATGCGCATATGATGCACCACATTGAATACGGTATATATATTGTTAGTGTGTGTAACAATTTGTGAGTCATTTCTGCTGGTATAAAGATATTATAGATATTATAATACATTTCATAATATACGATTTAAATCAAGTATGCATTTGTCTAGGGTATCACATTAAAATGTAAAAGCATTATAATGCATTTGAAATGTTCTCTTTGCTTATAGGACAAAGTATAGATTTGAAGAATGGAAACACAAACAAATCAAGCAAAAGGTAAGTTTATATGTCATAGTTTGCAATCTTGATCTCTTTTTTGTTGAATAGAAATATAAAAGTAAACGTTTGAATGGTTTTACATTAGTAATTTTTGGGGCCCTTTATAGCTTACTGTTCGGTGTGAGCCAAGGCTCCGTGTTGAAGACCGTACTGTGACCTATAATGGTTTACTTTTATAAATTTTGACTTGGATGGAGAGTTGTCTCATTGGCACTCATACCACATCTTCTTATATCTATAAATTGTTCCTTGGTTTCAGTAGTTATTTTTTAATAAATGTTCTTATGCTATATGACGCTAGAAATCGTCGATTTTGACTTTGATTAGAACATTTAAAAATCAAAACCTAAGAAAACAAAACAAATTGAGCAGTATACATCCAAAATCATTTCTTCTGTTTACGCATTTGCACTGTATAAATAGAGAATATCATATGGCTTTTTCAATATCACACCTGTATCAACCCGAGACACCAATATAATCTCATGAGCTCTGCTTTATTATATATACATGTACCTAAAGTACCATTAATGCAGATTTTTTTTCACGTGACATGACGTAAAACATTAATAAGGGGTTTGATAAAGCCCTTGTAGCCATGACTGCTATCGATAACGTGACGTCATACAAAGTAGGGGTTTGATAAAGCCTTTGCAACCGTGACTGATATTGATATCATCAAGATTGGCTGATACAGCATGATTGCCATCGATTGTATTACACATACAATATACTTGTATTTACTACGAAGTATATAATAAATATGAACATTTTTATGCTCCAACCACTTGCCCAAGTTTAACCCATGTCTGCCATTTTGTAATCCAACAAATGTCCAGATTTTTGTTGTCTTAATATAAAATACAAGGAGACACATGACAGATATAAGCAATTACAGGTCATTGTACGGCCTTCAACATGGAGAAAACCCAATAATGCATAGTCAGCTATTAATAAAGACACTGACATAAAAAAGTAAAATAATTCAAACTTAACGGCCTAATTTATCACAAATCAATTTACGAAAACAAATATTACAGACATGAACCAACAAGAACCACAGATGTTAGGCTCCTGCTATAGGACAGACACATAAAGAATGTAGCGGGGTGAAATTATATAATCATAATGATTCAGTACAGATAGAGTTTGAGTTATTTGTTAGATGCTCTTCTTTTAATGAAAGTGTTATCCTTATTGATATAAAAAAACCATTGCACTTCTCCATTATGCAAAGCTCTAATTCCTTGACCGGGTTTCGGATTTTCAAATATTTTGGCCTCCGAGCACCATTGAAGAAACTGTTCATGTCGAAATACGATCTGGTGCATAAAAAAATTGGTATCGTTAATGTAATTACTACCACTGGATTGATATCCCTGCTAGTCCCCGAGGGTATCACCAGCCCAGTGGCCAGTACCATATACTGGCATGCAAATATGGATATTGTGTTATTAAAATTTGCTGTAGCAGTTACACAATTTTAGAAATCATTTTTAAATTAAGGAATGTATCTCCGTCATGCACAGCTCTGTTTCCTTGTCCGGCTTTGGCTATTCTTTTTGTCCTTTTCGGTTTATAAGCTCTTCGTTTTTTTAATAAGTTTTGGATTTTCAAATATTATGGCCCCGAGCATCACCGAAGGGCGTATCTGGTGCAGGAAAATTGGTACCGTAAATGTTATTCCAACTTATTTCATTATGAATAGAAATATTTTGGTTAGTTTAGATTTGTTAGTGTATAATGATAAATTACTGATCAAGTCCTCGTTTCGATGCAGATGTCTTGCTTTTCGAAGATATACGGAGTCCTTTTTTCATTCCACATGCCAGTTAGTTCGTGTTGTTCCGACAGATGGAAAGTTGTTTCATTGGCAATCAAATAACATCTTCTCTTTTTATAAATGTTCGGAAAAATAGTTTACATAGATATCTAAATGTAATATTGGAACCCTATCGTTATTTGTTTCTGTTAATATTGACTCCTGTCTTATTCTAATTTAATATATTTAATTATCTTAACAACACGACCACACGACGGCAGATGCGAGCATTCATCTAGACTTTAGGACGAGTTAGCGAGATATTTTAAGTCGATTTGTGATCATTTATCTCGGCAAGTCAACATAAGATGTGATTACGTCGACATAACGCAAAATGTTAGTCTACCTGATGAGATAATATTATATTATATTGACTTCACGTCGGCTGAAATGCATATGATTGTCAATTAAACAACTATAGAGTAAAGTCCAAATGAAGCGGGTTTAAGCAACTATAGGTCCACGTACGGCCTTTAACCATAAGCAAAACCCATATCGTATAGTCAACATTATATCGTATAAATCTCTTTTCGTATGTGTATATACATATCGTAATAGTTTTGATAATGATTCTCATTTCTGTTAAATGTTTTGGATGTCCAATGAAATCTCATTACAAGACAACGTTGTATACCAATGAAATTCTTTATGACCCAAGGATGTTCTCGAGGCATTTCCAAATTAATAGTATTCTGTACAGTTTATTTGCGTAAGAAGGAAATGTAACTGACCAATTTTATATCATAAATTAAGGTACTTACCTGACATATGTACTTAAGGATTTCAATCTCGTTGGTATTAGACTCGACCGGAAGTTCAAAACACGCGGGAACCAGATGTTATGCTACATCCGTTCACCATGAACTATCAGTTTTCTTTCTCGGCGGTTTGAAAGATATTCGTGTTATTACGTGCTCGTAATTCTGCCGTTTGAGATGGCAGAGGAAAATAGAAACGGAGATATTTCTCCGGTAGAAGAAGATACTTTGGAGGATTCCTCTCGTGAAGGGCAGAAGCCACGTCGACCTTCATCTTCGTCAGTAGTTATGAAGAAGAGGAAATCGAGGTCCAAGTATACTCAAGTTAGATTATAAATGATACACTAAGTTTGGAAACTTAAACAGTAAGTTAGACAATATGTTCGATTTTATTTAGAGTGAATTAACTACTAGACAGACAAGTACCGCCAATGGTGACAATAATACGTCTGAAAATACACTGTCACAAAGACAGTCCAGTTCAAGTCTGTCACAAAGACAGTCGAGTACTACTACAAGTCAGTCACAAAGACAAACACGTAGATCTAGAGATTCTGATAGTGAATCAGCTGATGATCGTGATGATGTTATGTCTTTGCAACCAGGTCAAAACGAAGTTTTGGGTTCAGTGACAGAGTCTGACAATGAAGGCTTTAATGATGAACAGTTGTCAAGTAAGGCAAAAAAATGTTTGTTTGATATTTTTGGGGAGGATGCCATTGCCAAGAAAACAGAGAAAAAAAATGGCATTACAATGAATGATTCTCAAAAAGAGGTTCTTATGGGTCACTGGCGTGTACGCAAGCCTAATTTAGTATCAGCCTTTGCTGAGGAAACTAAAGAACTTTTTCCTGTTGATGAGGAAACAGATTAATTCCTTCAGGTACCGACTTTAGACGATTTCACTGGAAATTGTTTAGTTAAAAGACATCGCAGTAAAGCCTCTTTTTCTAAAGGAAAAAAATATATTCACAGCCTTAACAAAATGCTTGAGAAAATGGCATACAGAGGGCAGCAGGCAAGTTTCATGGGCATTGTCATTTGCATGTATATGCAACAGAGTCTTGGTAATTTGTTAGAATTATTATCAGATGAGACACAAAACATTGATAAAGCAATTCAACAAGTTAGGGACATTTTTGCGATGTCCACGAAAGAGTTAGATCAAGCTGGTAGAGCAGGTGCTTTTCACCATATTTTGAGACGTCAAATGTGTATGACTGATACATCCATGTTTCTACTTCATGATTCTAGAGACATTTCAGATCTGCCTCTTACTGGAGAAGGTGTTTTTGGTGACAATTTAATTTCTGTTTTAAAAGCTAGAAAAGACAAAGATAAAACTCTTGATGATGTGTTGCCTGATATTTTCTCAAAAGACAGAAAAAGGAAAACACCTTTGACAGATGATTCTAGTAAAGCTAAGAAGGTTAAAATAGAGAAATCAGACCAAAACAAAGACAAGCCATCAGAAAATTTTCGTATACCAAAGCTGTATTCCAACACAGGACCTAGAAAGTTCACCAAAAAGACAGAGGATGGAAAATTCTCCAAACCAGATACAGGTTACAAGAAGACTCCCTTTCCGGCTAGAGTAGGGAAGTTCCATAGAAATGACAAGGTGAGAATAGTGTTGTTTCCGGAGATACCCGTGGGTGGTCTTCTTGTTCATTTTCTTCCAAAATGGGAAGAAATAACAAACGACAAATGGGTTTTGGCTATAATTCAAAATGGTTACAAACTAGAATTTTCACAAAAACCTCTCTTTTTAGGAGTCAAAAAGACATTTGTAAATGTCACAAATTTGGAAGTTTTAAAACAAGAAGTAAAACGTTTATTAGAAAAAGATGCTGTTGAAATTGTGCAAAAAAACGCATGTTCAGACAGGTTTCTACAGCACACTTTTCTTAGCAGAAAAGAAAAACAGGAAGTTGAGACCCGTAATAAATTTATGACCACTGAACAAGAATCTCAAGAAACAACACTTCACAATGGATTCAATGACCAAGGTTTTACATCTAGTCAAGAAAGGAAACTGGGCTTGTTCTCTCGATTTACAAGATGCTTATTTACATGAACCAATCTTCCCAAAACATCGAAAATACCTAAGGTTTGTAATAGACGAAACTGTGTATCAGTTCAAAGTACTATGTTTCGGTCCAACAAGCTCACCTCGGGTATTTACAAAGATAGTCTCAGTGGTGGCAGCACATCTGAGAAAACAAGGGATAAGATTAGCAGTATACCTAGACGACTGGCTAATAGTCGATCAACAAAAATCCGCTCTTTTAAAAAATCCAGATACAACCATCACTGTCCTTACTTCTCTAGGTTTTATAATAAACACAGAAAAGTCAGATTTAATTCCAACGCAAACAATTGCATATATAGGAGGACTATTCAGACTAGATCTAGGA